AAGAAATTAGAAAATTTGATTAGTTTTGTCTTGGTTGTGTTGGGACTTGATTATTTGGGATTTGATTATTTCTTGATTAGGTTTGGGATTTGATTACTATTTGGTATAATTGGGTTTGGGATTTGATTATTATTCGGTTTTGTTGTTGTTTAGGATTTGATTATTTTGGGTTTTTGGCCACGGGAATTGCCACATATAATTGAAACCCACAATCCTTGCCACATAAATTACACTTTCATACGAGGGAGGGGGGATTATGGGTTTCAATTAATATATGTGTCATCCACATCAACACTTAACGAATTAATGAATGGAAAATATAACAGATGTATTATTTTGAAATAAAATAGTACTTAAGGTATGAAAGTAAAATGTTTTGAAGATGTTGTAAGGAATTGAAATAGACCCCAAACTTGAGGTATGAAAGTGTAATTTACCCTTTCAGTTATTATTATTATTTTGAGAAAATTCAGGTTTTTAAAAAAAAAATTAAAAAAATTATTTTATTTGCCACGTGGCAGACGTTTTGCAGCCACGTCAGCATTTAACGGATCAATGGATGGAAATGTAAATTATTTTGAAATAAAATAGTAGTTAAGGTATGAAAATGAAATGTTTTAAAAATGTTGTAATGAATTGAAATAGACCCTAAACCTGAGGTATGAAAATGTAATTTACCCTAAAAAATTAAAAAATTAAAAAAAAACTAATGAAAATAAGTTTTAACGAAAATGATAAAAAGATGTTGTAAGTGAATAGTATTAGGATTAATTTTTTATAGTAAAAATATGATTTTTCGTTAAAATAAACACTATCAAAAGTTTTTCGTTGAAGTTTTAAAAAAAATATGGTACTACTTTAAAATTTTCTTTTAAATATATGCTTTAATTAAAATAAATATTTGTCCAAAACATTTTCTGTAAGGCATATTTCAATAAAATATACACACAAACGAAGCTAAGGTAAATCATCAGAGATTAGACAAAAAAAAACATAAAAAATGTAAAGGACGAAATTGCTCAGCACTTTCGTTGCAGAAGCCATGCGTGTTCAGACGGAATAAAAGGTTATAATATATCCTTAGTGGAGGATCTCCGTCGGAAAAGTCAAAGATGAGTGAGAGACAAACAATCACAAAAGTAAAATATGGTGCACATGCGATGAGGGCTTCTTTACGCGTTTTACGTACAAAGTTTACGAATATTTTAAGTTAATTGACAACAATTTCTTTCGGTAAAGTCGACAAAAGGGGCACATGGGATGGGCCCTCACTTCAAGTGCTTTACCTTTGCATACAAAATTACAAATTTTTTCAGTTAGTTAATGAACAATTTCTTTTAAGAAATTTCCAAATACTTTCTATTGAGTATTTTTTTTAATTCCAAGAAAAAATAAAAAACAAATAAATTTCAAACTACAAAATCACGGAAAGATGTCATTCATTGAGAATCCTCATATTTAGGATTATGGCTTGCCTTCCATTGCGCTCAATGCCATTAAGATGTTTTTATTTTTAAAAAATATCTTCTAAAAAAATCATGGAGGGTTAAGAATATAGATCTTCACTATTAGAGATTATCTAAGATTTGGAATTATTTTTTCAACCACATGTGACAAATCAACCTATTGAGTTATTAATAGGGAACTATTAAGTATCCAAGATCTCTTTAGTGTGATTTTACCATCACACAATCATTACCACTAGCATGCAATTTAATCTCAACAAGGACTAACCTACACAAACAATTCACCGTAGCATCTAGGTGGTGCACTTATTAGTGCATCGATAGTTTAGAATGTCAAGGTGGCATAAGTAAGATAAAACCAATCTGAAGCTTATGAATTTTTAAATCAACAAGTGCGCAACCTATGAATAGAAGGATTCAACTAAAACATTATGAACTGTCAACTTATTTGTCATAGTTGATTAACTAAATGACATTAGTTTTAATTGATTTTTTTTTTTAAGAAACGATATTTTCAAAGTGATTTATAGTTGAACGACTTCAACTATAAACACGAAGTTTTGTGAATTGAACACGAAGCATCCTCCTCAGCCTTGAGAAGGCAAGCATTATTCTACTTTGACATGGCCAAATAAAAGAAAAGAAATTTACACACAACAAAAAAGTCACTACAATAGTTATAGTAAGTCAATCACACACTATTAATTAGGTCATAAACCTCATGGTAATTATATCATAGACTTGTGCACAACTAACAGCTTCATAGGCCATTGACTATAATTAAAACCCTTTTTTTTCTTTTTTTTTTTCTTCTAAAAACTAAAGGTTAGATTTGGAGAGATTTTTTCGATTAAAAGTTGGGAGAGTTCACTTGAAAGTTCGATTAAAAGCTGAGAGAATTCACTTGAAAGTGAAAGGTCTTAAGTTTGATTCTCATCAAAGGTGAATTTGAATCATATTATTACTAGCGCATTGTGAGGCTTAGCACACTCCCCCTTATCTTAGTGTAGATAATCTCATTGTTAAAAGAAAAAAAAAAAAAAGGGATGGTGGCTTATTACTCAATCATAGGCTTGATTTCCGATGACAAGAGGCGCAACTACACCTCCTTGCGTCTCTGTAGCCTCATCGGTGCTTCTCAACAAGCCAAAAACATAATAAATTTCAAAGTACGACGTGTCAAGCAAGGCACTCAATGTTCAAACATTATCTATGCATCATGCCAAACCAAAAACAAAATAAAATCACAAAGTGTCAAGCAAGCTCCTCAATGGTTCAAACAATGCCCATAAACATGCCAAACTAAGAATGAGGCATGATAAATTACAACATACCATTGAAGCCGAAAAATGAACCCAATCAAATAGATTGTGCCATCCTATCCTATCCAAGCAAATCACCAAGTGTAAGAACACTCCTAACCTACCACAACAACTATCACTGTTATTAAACACCATTTTCCAATTCAGATGACGACTAAAATAAGAGATACAAATACAAGTTCGTGATTCGTAAATGTTAAGTCAATGCACATGCTTAAATGTTAAGTTTCCAACTACCAAAATCATGAACGAAAGTAGAAAATGGGGCACATGGTATGGGGCCTCCCTTTAATTACGTGCTTTTCGTACATGTAAATTTTCTCAGCTAGTCGGTCACCAATTTCTCTTAAGAAATTTCGAAGTGCTTTTGATTGAATACCTTTTTATAATTTTTGAAAAAAAAAAAGAATTTTATATTACAAAATCATAGAGGGCTAAGAATATAGTAGTTCACTACTAGATAAAAGTCAAACGGTTTATCTTACCGACACCGTTCACTCATCTATCCATTTTGTTCGTTCATGATTATGTTGATTTTTTTTTTCCAGGTTAAATGTGTTTTATTCATGTGGTTAAGACTGGTGTATTCAAGTCCTGCAACAATGCGCATGCATTTTTACTAGTAATTCCTAAAAAAATAAAAACAAGTGAATTTCACACTACAAAATCATATAGGGCTAGAAATATCTCTTCACTATTGGAAATTGTCATTTGTAATTGTCTTTTTAAGCACAAGTGACAAATTAACCTATTAGATTATTAATGGGTAACAATTAAGAGTCTAAAACTTATTTAGTTTGATTTCACCATAATAAAGTATACACGATCATCACTACTACCAATCTCATCTTCATATTATGGTGAATTCAAACATTATATTAAAGTTAAATTAAACTAAACTGATCTTAAGAATTATCCATTAACAATTGATTTGCCATGTCTATTTTGGAGGCTATCAAGAGATTACAACAGAGTTCAGAATTCTGCCTAAAATTATGTGCCTTGGCCCAAGTTAGAGATCATGATACACTCCATCTCTCTCTTTAGGCACTAAACTAAGCAAAGACAGAGGTAGAAATTGGGAAGCAAGGGAGGGGAGAGTAGTTGCCGAGACTAGATCAGATTTAAGTTCTGCAATTGTATTATTTGACTTGACTTGACAACTTGCACAAAGTTAATGAAAATTTTATGGTGCTCCGAGTACGAAGCCTCCAAGAAAATATCCAAAGAGATGATGAAAAAATGAAATAAAATGAATAAGAAAGACAAATTAAGGGCACATCATCATCATCATTTCATATCCTTTATTTAAATAAATAAACAAGCACCAAACCCCACGCGGATTTTAAAATTTTGTTAAATGTGTAGGACATGTTAAATTTTATTTACATCTTTATGTTCAATAAGAAACAAATGATACGTGTCATAGAGTATATTAAGCCGTTTGTATAACAATACGAATAAAAATATCTTGTTTTCTACGTCCAACTTTTCACATTATTATTTCATACTTCACTCTTCTTTCTTCTTTGTTGCGAAAAAGATAATTTTCTTGTTCCCATGCATAGAATTTTTAGACATGGATCAAAACTAACATGCAATGTAGAACTACTTTTCACTTGCTTATGGATTGGGTTACACTCTTAAGCTTGAGAAAAGCATTACACGAGCTGAAAAAAACATAGTTAAGAAAAGAAAGAAGTTAGGTACTTTTCTTTCGTTACTGGTTGTGTACTTACTCAGAATACCAATTGAATGAAAATGTATTAAATTCATGAATTGTATGACAAGAAACAACAAATGCAAAGATTATTTTTCTTAAGAAATATAAATATAAATTATAATTTTCTTATGTAACTTTTATTAACAGTGGGACGTAAGGAACACTAACAATTTAAAATATACGTGGCGCGTGAGTCTTGCTGGACTTGCATTTGGAGCGAGTCCGGCTAGCATTCTCCCTTGGAATCGTCCTCCCAACAAGGCCATCATCAGATCCAATCATCAACCTTCATTTTTGGTTGAGCTCAATTTTCATCATTGACAACTAGTTGGGTAATACATAATGGGCCGGGCTCATTAGAGCCAGTGGCAGTTTTGAAATATCACAACAATACAGTACCATTTTTGTCACAAAGAATCAGAAGGAAAAATTGATTAACGACCATCGTTTTTTCCCTCAAACTATTGGCATCTCTTAGTGTCTCCGTCTGTCTTCTGATTATCCTCCTAATCGAAGAAGGGCAACCAAATCCTCGCTGTACGTCGACGTTTTCTAAGGCATCGAAATCTTGGTCCTCCGAATTCGTGGTTTTTTGACTCTTCTCGGCGCTCCTCTCGATTGATTCCAAGGTCTGATCTTCGGCGAATCACAATCCGACGGTAGCGATAGCGTCGGCGCAGAACCAATCGGCGAATGTGGATCTCTTCGATGCATATTCCGACGAACCAGTTTGGACCGGCTGGATTAGTGGCAATGAAGCCGTCGCTTTCTTCCAGGGCTCCGGTCTCCCCAAACATGTCCTTGCGCAGGTACTCTCTCTCTCTCTCTCTCTCTCTCTCTATGTATGTGCTTGTAGATATATGTATAATTGGATGAGTATTGTAGTGTGTATGAGTATATTTGTGTAATTATAGTGGTTGATCGGGATTTGATGCTGGTGGAAATGTGTTCCAAATCAATTGATTTTGAATTTGTAGTCTAATTGTAGTTGAAGTAGTTAATGCGAGCTCGGGATGTCGTAATTCTCTGATCTAAGCTGAGATTTTTATTTCGTGTTGGTATAATTATAAATGTGGAATTGATGTTAAAATGGTAGAAAATAAGTAGATGAAGGACATATACCACAGATAGTGAGGTTAAGCGAGTTATGTTATCAGTTCATTAATTTACTTCTGGTGTGTCCGTTCGACCTTATGTGGTAAGCAGACTTTAGAAATGTGTTATATGACCCAAGAATTGACCTAGGATTGGTTATTACATTACAATAATGTAGTTGTAATGTAACTGAACTGATGCATCTTTGCAAAACTTGTACTATCCCTATCCCGGAGTTGAAGTTGTTTATTCTTCGTCTTCTGGGTGGTGGATGATTGACAATGTTTAGTTTGTGGCATTTAGCTTGAATTCCTGAACATAGCAGGCTAGATCAAGCATATTTTTCGGTGAGATGCTTTGCCGCTGGATTGTCATTCTTTGCATGATATTTTTGTATTTTGATGTAAAAACTTACTTGATGCCAAAAATATTTTGTAGATATAAAATTTTATTTGTAATTGGGAGTATTTTTTTGCCGGCCAATTGACATACAGTCATCCATAAATACTATTCAATTGAGTCATGTCTGAATGTGCAGTCTAGATTGATAGAATTACTACCCATCATGCCACATGATCTTTGATGGAGCGGTTTTGGGAGGGACGCCCTCTTCCAGCAGTGCTACCAAGCAATGTTATGTTTGATTTGTCCAATATTTTTCAACCTGCAAATAATCACTCCAATGCTGGCAATGTAGCCTGGAGACCTGCTTCTGGTAGTCATCCATAAAACAATTCACTTTTATTTTTTGAAACCATGTCTTTCTTTGATGGAGAATAGTTTCTTATTTTGCACTTTAAAAGGCTTTCAACAACAGCTACCGATGCCCGGTCCTGGTGCTTGGCACATGGCAACCCAGCTGGAGGAAGGCCACCAAAGCCAGTTGCTCCTTCTCATGCTGAGGAAAATCAGCAGGAACCTAGAGTACCAGAATTGGAGAAACATCTTGTAAATCAATTGAGTACAAAGTAGGTTAACTCACTGAACTCAAAGTTCAAAGAAGCAACCGAAGCTGATAAAAAGGTACTTAGAACTTTTTTGTATCCCCAATTTTTTCAGCTTGAGAAGCAAAGTTATGTGTGCATGTTTCTTCCTGATAAGCGTCAAATCATAACAAATATCCCAAAGACTTGGAATTCTTGTGGTTGGGGGTTTTACTTTGTTCTTAATATCGCTCATTTCCGTGGAGAAGATTATGATCAAGTAGGGAGACTGTTCGGGTTTTGAAGCTCACGATCAGTTCTTTTATATTAGTAATCTTAATGATTGGCACTTCATATGTTTTTAGTGCATTGCAGTCATTATACTTTCTTTGTGATTGTGGGGGACAACTTAAACGAAGAGATTGCTTTTTGTTGAGGAGATTGGGTAGGCAATTAAAGCATTCCTTCTTATGCACCATAATGGTGATGAAATAAAGATCCAAATTTGGTTGAACGGGAACTGGGGCATGGGAAGAATTTACCTTGTGTATGAATTTATACCACTTTTTTAGAAGATAACTAGAAAATGAGCCTGTGCGGTGCTGTGGGTCTTAAAATGTCAATCCAAGTACGTAGAGTTGAAGAACTAACAATTGCAGCAACGTTGGGTTTTGCAGTGCCAAATTCGATTAAGTAATACTCCTGAAATTATACATGATTGGCATCTTACATCATATATACTAATTCTATTTACATCCTTGGTTTCATGAAAGGGAGTTGTTAATGATACTGTAAAAAAGTTATTGCATTGTCAGCTGAATACGTATTTAAAACAAAGCAAAGTGCAAAGACACAGTTTAGTAGTCCAATGAATTAAAAAAATCAGAAATGTGAGTTCTAATTGAATTCATTCACAAACAATTACTAAATTAATTTGAAAATTAAAATGGGTGTATCCACAAACTGACCATCCTAAATCTCCTGCTTAATTCTGTGAGCCACATTGTTTGATATCTGCAGTCCATTGTCATTCGGCTTGACACATGTTTGAGCAGGGGACTCCATGAAAGCTACAATGTACATAAAATGTAATTATTACTAATTATAAGTAATGTAATCAAACATACATAAAATGGTATGATCTAGTTTTATTCCTTTCCACAAAGCTCTCATGTTCGACTCTTTTGAAATGTTGAGTTCGATACAAATTATTAATGATAGAAATACTCCAGCATCCTTTGAGTTTAAGTAATACTACTTAAACATGTTAACACACCCATAAGCTGACTAATTCTAATTAGTATTTGATGCAATTTCAATATATTAATATGAAGAAGAACCAACAGAGTGAGTAAAAACAAATTCTTAGAAAAAGAATTAGCTAATTAACAAGTACTAATCAAACTGCAAAAGGAACATATGAGTTTTTCTGGCTTCAAAGTTCAAACATAGAACCAACAGAGTCAAAGGTCTTCATATGCATTATGAGAAAAAACTCGTTACGGTATCAGAAATCATAACTTAAAGCTAAACTAAAAAAAGTAAGAGACACACATTTGATGTTCTTTATGTCCATCTAAGAGATGGGCAAGTAAATTTTGTGAAGAAACACCTGCTGGTTTGTCCAACCTGAGAAGATATTAAGTTCTCATTGAAGATTCATTGTTTGAGTGGTTTATTTATTTAAGTGATTTCTATTTTTTTCAAGAAAATGATACCGCCATAAAAATAAAAATAAAAGAAATAGATAACAGCGCAATCGAATCATTTTTTTATGTCCTATACAGTCTGGTAGAAGGTGCCCGAGTCAAAACAAAATGGATATTTGCACACATGCTTGCTCTAAGGACACAACGATTTCCAACTTTAGTAGAATCACATCCAACTCTATCAATTACTTCTGAAATAGTAAAAAACCATGAAATTGTGCAGTCACTAAAGACCTAAATACTGAAATCGCAGAAGAAAAACAACCCAATTCATAAATTAATGAATGAAAGGAGTATAAAGTTCAATTATAAACTAAGAAGATTTCTCATAAGAAAATTTGTATACAATAATAATTTAGTCCTTCTCAGGCTTAAAAATACCATGTACTACACACATTAATGTAATCAATCGCTCAGATAATTTAGGAGGCGAAAACCAAAAGCTAATTTTTTTTCATTTCATGCCTTGAAAACAGATTCTTCAGTCTATACAGTCCAAAAGGATATAATACTACCTGAGGACCCTCAGATCACTTTGAAGTGTATCCCAAGTGTGAAGGCTGTCAGCGAAATTGAACTCCTTGGTTATGAGGAGGGCGATGAAATGTAATTGAAAGCTTACAGTGTACAAATCAATTATTCAGAAATATAATTGAAAGCTTACAGAGGAAGTTTCCAGTTTCTATATGATACAAATGCGAATTTCAAGATGCTGTTGGACTTGGTTAAAGATAAGAAATATGACATTACACACACTTGTCCACAACATTGTGCTTTGTAATGTAAAAACAATACTAAAATAATAAGAGCCTTGCCTGTTTGTCAGTCTTATTTATTGAACTTGCCACTCTCTTCAGCGCCGCACAGCCTTCAGCGCCGTGCAGCCTTCAGCTTCAACATTACATTGCATTGGGAGTTCTGGCAAAGATTGAAGCCACTTGCAGTTGACTATGTTGAGTTCAGACAACCGAGAAGCTTGTTTGATGCTTGCAGGTATGCTCCTAATCTTGGTTCCAGACAGATACATACGTTTCAATGAGGTTGAGCAAACGAGACCACCAGGGATTTCCAATATACCGCTGTCGCTGAGATCTAGTACTTCTAAAGAGGGAAAACGTTTAGAGCTGGAAGGCAATCTTTCAAGTTCCCGACAGGCTTTAAAGTTGAGACGTTTAAGTTTGGTTAAACGGTAGATACTTCTACCAACAACCTTGAGGTGCTTGCAGCCACTAAGGTCTAAAGTTTGAAGCCCAATTACATTTCGAAATGATGAATCTGAGGTCTTATGATTTGAATACATATTATATAAATGTTCTGGACTCCAGAAATTCTGACTTTTCCTCACTTTTTTTTATTTTGTATATTGAACTGTGGTAGGTCTATCATGGCTGTTTCCTCCTGGAATGACAATGGGCAAAAGCAGTTTGTGCATGATCCTAGTGAGTTCTCATTAATTTTTGCAAGTTAGTCTTCCTAAGATTGGAATCAAGCATAATGCAATATTTATTTTTTCAAGACCAATTACATTAATGTAATAATAAGATCACTATCCGACACCTCCTTTTTGTTGTCCTTCGTGACTGGATAGAGAAAATGTTTTTGTTTTTGTGGGAGAACCGATGCTTATTTAAGCACGGTCGTTCAGGTTCCTGGCTCATGTAGGTTCGTAACATATTGCTCCTATTTTTAAGGATTGACAATGATCTTTGCATCTTGGTCTTCTGCTACATTATCTAACCTTATCAGTTAACACATTACATTACTATCATCTTACCAACAAGTGCATGCATCCTCAGTATTTTCCGCCGATGTTTGGGCACAAGACATTGACAGCTATCAGAAATAGAAACTCAGAGCCACTATGCTTTCTGATCTGCTATCTGATTCACTGTGCAGAAATACTTTATAGATCGGATTTCTTTCCTGGACTCGGGTGGATGCTGGCTAGATCTACATGGGATGAGCTATCACCAAAATGGCCAAAGGCATATCCTTGTTGCTGAAATGAGTTTTATGTTGATTTACACTTCTCTATGCTTTTAGAATTTAGATCCATATCCTCTAAATGTTTTCTTTCACAATGCTTCACTTACTGGGATGACTGGTTGAGGTTAAAAGAAAATCATAAGGGTCGACAATTTATACGGCCAGAAGTGTGCAGAACATATAATTTTGGAGAACACGTATGTATTCTTACTTTTTCTTGTTCATTGCTTCCCAACCTCAAGCGTTATATAGTGCATGCAGTCATGTATTTATTTTTGTATAAATTCAGTGATTTAGTGTATTGATTTCTGCACTGATTTTATTTAATATATCTCCCGGAAGTCAGGAAATCTTATCTTAAAGTGGTTCTTTGTTCCTTGAAACTGCAAACATTGTCAGGAGAATAAATTTCATAAAATTCTGAGTTATCTTAAAGTGGTCCTTTGTTTCTTGAAAATGCAAACAGTGTTAGAGGAACGATTTTAATAAAGTTCTGAGTTAAAGTGGTTCTTTGTTTCTCCTCCCATCTTTATATTGCCGTATAATTTCTTTTAAGTAATCCCTATATAGTTGTTTTGCATTCTGATTAACTTAATCTAAGTGATTGTCAAATGTCAAGCGCAATGGCTTGAGAATGTAATAGTGCTAGTCTCTTCCCCCTCCCTTGTAGGATTGTGAAATTTGTCATGCTTCAATTCTCATGTCTTGTAATTTTATGCAGGGTTCTAGTCTGGGACAGTTTTTCAAACAATATCTTGAGCCAATCAAGCTAAATGATGTCCTGGTAATTACTAATCTCTCTTCTGTATCATTCCATCTAATCTAAGTTTGTACTTATCGTTATTCAACATTTTCATATTGAATTACTCTTTTCTACCTTTTGCTTCTAAGGTTGACTGGAAATCAATGAATTTGAGCTACCTGATGGAGGTAATGGATGCTTTAATACTTTGGTCAGAATGCTCTTTCTTTTCATGTATAATCAATACATTTTTCAACCCGTTTGCAGGACAAGTATATAAAGCACTTTGCTGACATTGTGCAAAAAGCTAAACCTATTCGTGGATCTGATCTTGTACTAAAGGCACGCAACATTGGTAGTGATGTTCGCATACAGTACAATGACCAGCCAGACTTCGAATACATTGCTGGCCAGTTCGGTATTTTCGAAGAATGGAAGGTGAATTTTCTTTTTTATTGTACAACTTTCCTCCAATTATCATTGACATTAGGAATAACGCATTTGATTTTATGAGACTGCAGAATCTTCGATGCGATAAGTCCTGTCGTCCATTAAGTATGCAAGTAGCTCTGGAAATAAGATGCTCTAAGTGCCTGGCTTTAAACCCAGTTGTTAAATTATTAATCTGGAGTTGTTTGTTTGTGTTTCCTTCGTTTTTCAGGATGGTGTGCCACGGACAGCATATAAAGGAATAGTTGTTTTCCGGTACCATATCCCACAACGTATATTCCTTATTGGTCCAGATTCTCTCAAGCAGCTCAGAGTTAATGATTCTTGAAGCAAGGTTGAGGTTAGTATGGTTCAACTTGCCGCTATTTCTCTGCTCAAAGTTCTGAAGTTTCACAAATTAATAGTATCTGAGATTTTTCTTCTCTTGGTTACCGGACAGAGTTCACAAGGAGAAAACATTGTTTCCAGAGTTCAAGATTTTGAGGACCATGCTCTTGAAGCACAAACGCAAACTCATACCAAAATCGATAACCAATGCTAACTAAACCTAGATGAGAGCCAGGTGCGTTTTTCGTGATTTGAGTTCTGCAGCCGGCCATGTCTTCAGTCTTCTGTAATTTGAGTTTTTTTTCGGAAACTTTACCGAGTCACCACATTCAACATGTAGCAGTCTCCATATTCAGTTTGCCCTTAATAGATACCATTCCCTTCTGAAAGTGTATTGTAATCCTAATTCTTGAGATGTATGATATTTTGACAAAATGTACTCATATAGTAGCATACAGAAGTCCAAAATATTACTTTTTATTTCTTTGTTAAAATTATTATTTATTTTATTTTAACAGACTTGTGGACTAATAGAAAAAGTGTCATGACCTACTTTTGTTAATTTACTAAATTTGTAAAAGAAAAAGAAAAAGACCATTTCGTACTCAATTTTTGTTAGGACAAATAATATTTTACATTAAGAGAGAAGGAGGGTTTGAAATTGGAACGCAATGCCCTAATCACGAGGGCTTCACCACTTATCCAAATATATTTTAACCGAGTAAAAATATTGTCTATTCCATTAAAAAACATTTTTTGGTCAAAATGGTTTTTGAGATGGGCATAACTCTTTATTTTTGTCCCTAAGTATGTCTGCCCTCAATGAAAAATTTTCGTAAAATAAGGACCAAAATGACAAAAAAAAAAAAAAATCGTCAATTTATGTCATTTGATCCTTATTTAACGAAGATTTATTACACAAGGATTAAAATGATTGACAGTGGACAAACTCAGAGACCACTTCTAATGATCTCAAATCTTAAAAACTAAAGTGAAGAATTATGTCATTCTCAGGAATCATCTTGGCTAAAAAAACCTTAAAAATAAATTGAATTTAAGAAAAATAAACAAATAAGATGTCTCTGTTTACGTACTCTCCTGTTTCTTAGGACATCAGTTTCCCAATCCTATTGGGATTAGGAAAAAATCCTAAACCGCCGTAAAATGAAAGCACCGCCAATCCCAAACCTCAACTATAAATAGAGACTTTTCCCTTCCATTAATTACATTACAAGCTACAATTTCCAGTTCATTCGCTTTCCGCATTCGATCACTCTGTCAAGTAGTAGTTGCTTAGAAAGCAAGTTAGGGTTTCCAAGTTAGAATTCTACGACTTTGGAATCGGAAGAGATGGCTGCTCTAGTTACGCGTCCTGCCAAGACGGGGCAATTCGACTTCCTTCAACTCAGGCAGCAACTGAAAGATCGCATTCGCATGAAGAAATCAGGAGGCTCTGCTGCTGCTCAAGGCTGCTCGGTTAATAGTACTACCGAAAACTTCGGATCCTTTTTTGGTCCCTCAGAGCGTGTCATGGCCAAGAGAGTGCACGAAGAGATGAAGGATTTTGTGCCGGAGTTGAAGAAGTTGGCGTCTAGGGTTCTGAATTCCGGTGACAAGGCTAAAAGCACCGCAAAGAGTCCTGCCCCCTTGAGCAAGGCATTGAAGTGTAAAATCATCAAGGAGTCCCGGGATTATTCCTTTTTGCAATCCGACAGTGCAGAAATTCCAAAGCCGTCTAAAGGAGAGCCTGAAGAAGTTGGCAAGAGCAAAACCTCCTCGGCAAAATCTGAATCCTCTTCAACAAAGCAATGCAGCACAAAACCAATGCCGAAACAAAAGAAATCCGTCTCGAAACATCCAATCAAATATCACGTGAAGGAGGAGCGTCCGGAGGCTGTGATTGGCAAAGCCTCCTTGGCAAAGTCAGAATCTTGTTCAACAAAGCAACGCTTGAAGCAAATGGAGCAATCTGTTGAGCTGAAACGCACAGCAAAACCGATACCAAAACCGAAACTATCCGTCTCAAAGAATCAGGTCAAAGACCGTGTCAAGGAGGAGCAATCACTTGATGTTTCTTCTGTGATCCAGGCGATATTTGGGCATAACCGCAAGCGCCCTAGGGCGGATGATGAGGATGATGATGGAGATGATCGTGCGATGGTGTCCAGTTTTGATGACATTCTGAAGGAAGAGAGGAAGAGTGCAAAAATCGCTAGGGAGGAAGATGAAAGAGAGCGGTTGCTGCTCGAACAAGAGGAGAAGCAAGAAGAAGGATTAAGAGCAACAAAGAAGCTGAAGATTAAGATCAAATTATCCAAAACATGATGTTGTTCCATTTAGATTTTGGAGATTGCATTTATTCAGATAATTGGATTTCAATTCCTTAATATCAAGTTCTTTTAAGGAAATTGATCTTAATGTAAGATTTTTAAGGAAATTATTGATAAGAGTAGAAGTTTCGAGTATTTTTATTTGTGTTTATTGGTTAATGATTCGGAAAAATCCTTAAATATCTGCCCTTCATCACTTTTTTTGGGTCATTTGTCCTTTGTGAAGTGAACTAGTTGCTTTTAGAACAAGTTAGGGTTTCAAAATTTGAAATTTAACTCTTCTTCGGATCGGAAAACATGGCTGCTGAAATTTTGTATCCTGCTGGCGTGGAGCAGTTCTTTCTCCAGCTGAGGCAGCAAATGAAAGAGAGCATTAGAGAACCTAACATGTAAAAATTAGGAGGCTCAGCTGCTGATCAGGGCTGCTATGGCAGTAACGATAACAAGAAATTTCCTTTCGACAACTTTGGATCCCACTTTGGCCCCTGGAAGCCTGTCATGTTGAAAAGATTGAATGAAGGGATGAAAGCTTTCATGCCGGAGATAAAGAGGGCGGCATCTAGCCCTTCAAATTTGGAGACTTGGTATTCCTCCTTGCTAGAAGTACTGGACCAAAAACCATTCTTGAACGATAATCAGGTTAAAAACAGTATGATTAAGGAAACATAAGGACGCAATCATAAGCGACATAGGCAGGATGATGACAGCAAGAACTGAGAAGGAGAGTGGCAACAATCAAGAAAACTCCATCTTCATCTTGTTCCAGCATTCCTTGTGCCACAAGCAATGTTGATGTTAAACAATTGGAAAAATGTGGAGGACTGTTTCGTCTTAGATTTCGACCCATCTGAGCCGCTGACTCCGCTATCCAAATTATCCGTGATTTCCGATGATATTTCTGTTGTTGGTGGTAGAGGGCGGGCTGCTTGTAGAGATTACCGCATTCAAGGCACCTCTGTGTGAAATTCCTTTTCAAAACAACGCCTCATGAATGCTACCGCCAAATGTGCTGCTGCTACGTTTTTGATTCACCCGCTCCGTGCGGGTTTTGGAAACCAACACGTTGTCATACTTCTGAGCACATTGGTGACTGGAAGCCCAGAAGGAGGTTGAGGAACAGCAAGTGACCCGGGGACGGCGCCGGCTAAGAAATGAACAAACTTGTTCATTAGGCCAAATACATTGCAGTTAATGGTGGTAAGGTGCAAGTAACTTTGTTTATACTTCTAATATGTATGACTTCGGAAGATGTAGTAGTAGTTACTACTGAATTTCTTTCTGATATATATGTCCAATCGAATTCGATTTGTTCAGTTGATCTTACTATAAGCTTTGTGTGTAACGAAACTATTGACGTAAGTTGTCTATTTATTTAAATATTTTTGTCTGTAAAAATAAGAGTTATTTTTGTTCATCTGATCGTTGGGAGCGAGTTGGTATGCTTTTTTATTGTTGAAAAATTGTGCATAAGAATCAAATTGAAAATCAAGAAGGCAAATTTGAAGGCAATGCCTGAGGACACAGTTATTTTTTTTTTTAACAGAAAAAAGTGTGCGTGTATATATATATATATTTATATACCAACCTATTACGACATGTCGTTCTAAGAGAATTGAAGTCGTCTCGCTCCTAAAACCCTAAACCCTCCTCTACACAGTCCCCTTCGGTTCCGTTCCCGCCGAGCTTTTAGCAGAAGCAGCCATGGCCTCAATCCTCTCCAAGAAGCAGAAGCAGAAGCAGAAGCAAAAAGCCACCAAGCTTTCCGACCTCAAAACCCTAGGGAACGAGCTCCTCTCCTCTCGGGCCCACATCAACAACCTCCCCAAGCTCCTCTCCTTCGTTTCCCCGGCCTCGCCGCCTCAGTACATCGTCGAGTCCCTCCTCTCTCTCCAGTCATTCTTCACCCCTCTCCTCCCCGACCTCCCTCCCTCCTCCTCCAAGCCCTCCGCCTCCGATGGCTCCCACGACGACCCCGACTTCATATACCGGACCTGGCCCCGCTCCAAGTTCGACGAGCTCGTTGAGGCCCTCGTCGAAGTCCTGCTTTCTACCCAATCTGATGAAACTCTCAAGGTCGCTTTTTGATTTTTTGAATGTCAGTTCTTTTCTCTTTTGTTTTTGTACAAGTATGATTTCAATTTTAGAATTCGATTCTCTGAATGTGATTAGGAGGTGGTGTTGGACACGATAATGGAATTTGTGAAGTTCGGAAATGGCGGAAAGGTTCACTCTGCAATGTACCATAGACTGCTTCGTAGTATTGTAAGTTGTATTGATTCTCCAAAAGCTTAGTTTGAGTTTTATTTTTCATATTTCTCTGTTGTAATTTCAATAGTAAGTTATAATTTTTTTGTTATCGCTGATAGGTTTACACTCGTCAGCAGTTGATTTGTTGTTAGACTTGCTCTCATCCGGTAAGATCACATTCCGTTAATTTTAGGAATTATGATATTTCTTAGGAACTTCTATTATTTGTTGGAACCTTTATTGTGGAAATTTGTGGTGCTGGCCACTTAAAAAGTGTCGTAATTGTTGCATCTATTTCTTGCAGTTATTTTACCTACATTAGCTTGGAAAAGCTTTCCAAAGTTCTGGATGCAAATGGGATTTCTGGTACTTTCTGCTGTGTTTCTTACAAAAACTTATGTTTTTCATCTTTTTGAGTGAGGGTAGTGGCGATGTTATAGTTAACTTAGTTGGTTTGTTGATTTGTATCTCCCTCTTAGGGGATAAAAATGTCAAGACAGACGGTAAAGATGGGGAGCATCCTATTGAAAGGTTAGTATAATGCTATCGCTTAGGAAATTTCTGTTCTCTTATTCTCTCATTGAACTTCTCTTGTTAAGAGATGTACATGACCCTAATATAGAATGTGTTGCCTTCTGTGATCTGATTGAGTCGGACATAATGGCAAGTGTTGAAGTTATTGTTACATTCTGCATATGCAGATTGTTGACAATATGTGTAGATGTTTTGGTTTCAGATCAAGATTTCTTGGAATTAAACATTTTACTTTTACGTTACTTGGATCTTTGTATGCCTCTATGTAATATTGGATTCTTCTTTGACTCAAAGTCCATTTTCATCTGTGCTATTCTTTTATTTTGTGATTGAGTCAATGAATTTATGTTTAGCATGCATACGTGTTGGATTCTTTAATATGTTGATGTGTTAACTTATTAGCTTTTGATGGCTAAAATTATTTACTTGCAGCATGGATCAATTAATTCACAAGATTCATTATTTGATATCACACATCCCCTCTCTGGAAAGCTCAGTTGATAAAACTGATCATGAGATCTGGAGTGGATCAGGTTAGTGTTCCCTGCCTTCTCACTCAGTAATTAAGCAGTTGAACTCATACTTTGCTTCCTTTTAATACTTTTTCTTTTGGTGGAGGACTTTGTTAATGATGATGGATAAGTTAATCACCTACCGAAACGGAAAATAGAGTATGCATCAGTTAGTCAATCCTTGCTATGGGCTCCAACATGATTATTGCCCAACATTCTTATTTAACTTAATGAAATGTAAAGATGCTATTTTCAGTTCATTTGACTGTATAAGTAGTGGAATGAGTGAGTAATACATGGATAATTATTTCCATAAACATTGGAAGGAAGTGTTATCTTTCTTTTCTTTTTTTGTATGTTTCCGTGATTAAATGATGGCATGAGAGAAAAGTTTCTTCAAGTCCTGACAATTTACTGCCATTTCTGCTTCAAGACGGTTCTTCTAATAGACTATTCTCATAGTTTCACCATACAAGTACACAGTGATGTATGTGAGTGAATGTGTGGTTTTCCTGTATGATTGCTTAGCATTTTTTTTTATTTTTTATTTTTTTTTACTTTTTTAGAGTATCTGCATGCCTTGTCTGAATTTCATACTAGTTAACATGGTGATAAGTGATAACTATGAGCACTAGTTTCTTCCCTGTTTCCTATTGTATTTCATCTTTTACTTTTGTGATCATTTGAGCTTTTAAGTTTTCTTCTTTTATCGATGAGATTTTTGTATAAAGGTGAATATGAAGACCTTTCTGGGAATCTGAAAGCAGATGGTAAACAGCACAAGACTGAGAAGCATAAGGATAAGGTAATCTAGATGTGTCAATTCAACTATCAAAATTAATTGTGTATTCCCTTCACTAAGTTCTCATCTATACTTTTCTTATGATATTAAAATTTTAGATTCCTAATGATTCACAATGTCTTCAGGTGTTGTCTGCAGCCAATATTGCCAAAAAGATGAAATTAAAATTTACCAAAGCATGGTTATCATTTCTAAGGTTACCACTTCCAGTTGATGTGTACAAGGAGGTAAGACTCATACGCGCTACTCCATTAGTTCTCTCCCCTTGTATCTGAAGCTCTTCACATCTCAACTCTAATTAGAATTATACTTGTTTTCTTTATCTGGAAAGCTGTTCTAGTATGTAGAGGCAGTATCTGCTTTATGGTACTGCACTTCTCATGCGCTTTGGTTTTGTGACTTCTGCCTCTTGAGCCTCTAGCAAAAAGACTAAATGTTATTTTCCTCTAGTTTGTCTGTTAAATACGTTTACCTTGCAGTGATAGTTTTCTGCTTTTATTCTCTACTATTTTCTGACCAGGCTGTGTTTTGATGCTCAGGTTCTTGCTACACTCCATAAGGCAGTCATTCCTTTTCTAGCTAACCCTGTCTTGTTATGGTAAATTTACTTCCGAAATGTGTTTTATTTATGTTTTCAGTTTGTCTTTTGTGACTTTGATTGTAGTTCATTTCTTGACAGCATGCTGTGACTTCTCTATAAAATCATATGACATCTCAAATATTTACAATGTGCAGCGACTTCTTAACTATATCGTATGACATTGGTGGTGTTATCAGCGTCATGGCTCTTAGCAGTCTTTTCATCCTCATGACGCAACATGGTTTAGAGTACCCCAACTTCTATGGGAAACTTTATGCATTACTGGTTCCCTCTATTTTTCTGGCAAAACATCCATCGAA